AACAAGTATCGCACCATTGGAAACATCGTAGCTAATTTCCAGCATTATTAAACATCTCGGTATATTAATAACTGTTAACTGGTATGAGTGATGTTGACTGTTCACGACCGTCAGCAGTCTGTGTGCGTGGCCGGAAGCTGTGTATGTACGTGTTGTTTTGCCCACGTGTCCGTTATGTGTACGTCTTGACCAATACAGGTGTCTATATGGGGGCGTTTGTGTTGGGTTTTGTGTGTTAAGTTTTATTGAGTTTTTTGTGTTTGTTTATGGTTTTTGTTTGTTTTTTGGTGTTTGTGTAGTAAATTAAATGTTTTTCCTTCGACTCTCCTCCTCCTCTTCTCTTTTCCTCTTCTCTTCTCTTCCTCCTTCCTCTTCCCATCCCGTCTTCTTCCTCCCCTCACTCTCTTTTTATTACTTTGAGTGTGTTTACAATACTGGCGATGCCTCGAGTTAAACAAGAAGATATAGTACGATATATAGAAAGAATATAAGAGTGAAATTGAGAGAGAGAGAGAGAGAGGGAGAGAGAGAGAGAGAGAGAGAATGTGGCAGGAAAATTAATGGACAAAAAATTTTTACGTCTCGACTTGAGGATTTCAAGATATGCTGTTGTCCCCTTTCCTCTCTATCCCTCTTTTCTTCTTCTTCCTTTCCTCCCATCCTCTCCTCCCCTCCCATGCCTCTCCTCCCCTTCCCCATCCCTCCTCCCCACCCCTCCCTTCTCGTCCGCCCACCACCTCTCCCCATCTTGTACCCAGGTCTCCTCTCCTCTTCAGCGTCTCTCCGGCTCTTCCTTCCTCCACTGTTCCCTGGCGACACTGGCCGTCGGCGTAATGAACAAAGCAGCTCCCGTCCCCCACATTCTTCCCTCTTGTCTGGGCTGTATCTCTGCTACAATACGAGGTACAGGTCCCGGCTCTCTCACATTCTTTACGGTGAATGTTTATCCTCCGGCTCACGACAAACGAACAGTCTATAGTTATGGAAGCGTCTTTGTGGAATTTCGATGGTATTTTTATTAACAAGTCGAGATCAGCTTTTGAGATAATTATGTCAGCTTTTCCTCAGCTTGAAGGGTAACAGTATACCTTGGATTAGGGGTACAGTCTCGGTATAAGCTTTAGGCCAGGGAATAGTTCGCCATCTCTCCTCTTTAATGTTTTCAGTGTTGGGTAATTATTAACGTAGGAGCTTTAGAGACCAAACCAATCGGGGAATGTGTGTGTGTGTGTGTGTATGTGTATGTGTGTGTGTGTGTGTGTGTGTGTGTGTGTGTGTGTGTGTGTGTGTGTGTGTGTGTGTGTGTGTGTGTGTGTGTGTATGTGTATGTGTAGATTACCTCCCCGAGTATCTCTTCCCTACACAAGGCTGACATTGGTAGCGGTTGATAGTCTCCTACCTGAGTCTCCCGTGGACAGTATATGATCGTGTTTCCCCCGCGGTACGCACATATTGCTTATTCCCCCCAGGTGCGAGTTTCTGAAATATGTGATGTGGCGCCGTTTATATCCCTGCCAGTTGTTTATTGTCAACACCTGCAGCTTTTGAAGTAGTCTGTGTTTGTTCTCCCGCGAAGTCTGCCGGAAAATGTGCGGCTGTCAACAACTGTGCAGCTTTGGCCCGGAACGTGTCAGTGAGGAGGGAAAGTCTTCCACCGTCAGCACTGAAAGAGACCTCACACTACACACACACACACTCGGGTTCCTACGCTTTATATTCCTCTAAATAAATCTTAAAATCTACACCTGACTCTCAGACTTAAACTATATCATGCAGCTGACTGACTGACTGACTGACGGCGCAGAGTGGGGCGAAAATGGTGTCCAAATTACACCGAGGTTGTTAGATGTATTGCCGGGTCTCCAGTCACTGAAGAACTTAAACTACGACCCTGTGAGGACTGGAGCTGTGGCGGGCAATTACGGCGATGGCTTTAACACGAGTGAAAACTGCCCTCGCTAACGTGGTTAAACCTGTTGGTTGTATCCTCTCTGACACACGAAGCCTTTGTGGTGTGGAGTATATGGCTGGAGTCCTTGATTACATGGTGGGGAGGTGGAGTAGGGAGAGGGTGGAGATGGAGATGGAGTAGGTGGAGGGTGGAGATGGAGTAGGGTGGAGGTGGAGAGTAGGTGGAGGGTGGAGATGGAGTAGGGTGGAGGTGGAGGTGGAGTAGAGGGAGGTGTGTCGTACGTTCTGGACTACTCGATGTGTCTTGTGTACAGTCACCCTTAAAAGTTCTGTCGCCTCTCCTCCTGAATCACGAACCCCGAGATTCAGATTCATGAACCCGAAGCATTTATGGCCAGGACTCGGCGTTGATGTTGAGAAGTGAAGACCCTCCTCCACCTCTTCACTCCGTCCTCCTCCACTTCCGTCCTCGACATCCCGCATCCACTTCTTGGCACCACCTCCTCCTCCTCCTCCTCCCCGTCATCCTCCTCCTCCTTCCCCACCTCCATCTCCACCATCCCCACCTCCTTCCCCACCCCCTCCCACACCCCTCCTACACACCCTCCCCAGCCCCTACCTCCCCCCCAACCCCTACCTCCTCCCCAACCCTACCTCCCCCAACCCCTACCTCCCCCCCAGCCCTACCTCCCCCCCCAACCCCTACTCTCCTCCCCAACCCCTACACACCCTCCCCCAACCCCTACCTCCCCCGCCTTCTGTAATTTATGTTCCGGTTGAAGATTAATCTGGGAATGGGAACGCTGCCGCTGCTCTCTGGCCACGCACACAAAATTTATGTTGTGAAAAAGAGTGGAAAATAGTTTTTAGAATAGATTATTATGAAGGATGTAGTGGTTAGGGGGTGAGGGGTGAGGGTAGTGGTACTGATGTGATGGTGAGGGAGTAGTGATAAGGGGTAGTTGTGGTGGTGAGGGAGTGGTGGTGGTGGTGTGGTGGTTGTGGGACTGGGGGGGTAGGGTGGTGTTATAGAAACCACTACTTCATTGTACTTAGGAAGGACTTAGGGAGTCCTTTAGGAGGGAAGGAGGAGGAAATCCTGTTCATTAAGCCTTTATGAAGACTATGAATATTATATAATTGTAGGAAGTTTTTCCTTGTTATGACGTCAGGAGCAAGAGAACAATTGTGTAAACACCTTTTTGTCTTAGTTAGGACAGAGACGTTTTCCTGTTGTACAAAAAGAGGAAAAAAAGCTAAATTTACAAGACTACATCAGTGAAAGGGGAGTACCCACGACCCATACACAGAGATGTTAACTTTCAGATGACGAGAATAATTGAGTGTGTGGTCAGTGATGCGTGTGAGCTGGGAAGGTTAACTAATTCTCACGGTCAAGCAAAAAACTAATTGACGTCTTAGTGTGTATACGAGGGAGCAGACAGTCACTATGTTGGGTTGATATGAACTAAGTATACGTGTGCCTTTTGTTTTTCTTTGGAGATTTCTAAAATTACAGGACACTTGAAGCCCACGGTGGGATAAGACTCTCAGACACTCAAACCCTCTTGTCAGTCTCTTATGTTTAGTAGAGCACAGGTGAAATTTTAAAGGCAAATTTTTATTAGATATTTGGAATATTTCGTTTAAAAATATCCCCCAAAACACTATCCAATTAACGTCTAGGTTCGATGTAGAGCTCGTCACAACCAATGTCTACACGAACGGTTGAATTCTTTTAGTGAAAATCCCAGAGTTGGAACAGAGATCGTGTTGGTATATACGGCGAGGAGGAGGGCGTAGGGTAAATGGCGCCACGACAGGTCTCAGCCCAGTTAGGTGTACTGTACGTAAACATTATCTTAACTACCTTAGACGTGTCCCTTACTACCTGACTCGGGGGTTGAGGGGCCATTAAGATCCCGCGGTTAAAACTAAAAAGGGGGCGACTTTCCAATGACTGAACTACGTGGGGAAGTTTCTTAAGAGGTAGAGAGTGTCCGACAGTGACCTCCTGCTGCCTGAGAGTTTTATCTTGGTGTGGGTGACGGAGGCTGTGGTGGTGACTTGGTGTACACTCTGGGACTCTCACTTGGTGTATGGGAGTTATGTTAGTGGATGTAGGTCAAGAGGGTTCCCAAATCTAGCATGCCCCCAATTCTGCTCGGCCCCAACCTAAGCCTTAAGACTGGGGCCCCTTAGGACTTTAAATCGGTCTAGGTTGAGGCCTAACAGGACAAGGGATTATTAAGACTGGGGCCCACTGGACTAACCATCACCCATAAATCCTCTGAAACCAAATCCTAAAACATTCTTAAAGATGACATTCTGCCCAGTCGCTTTAGTGTTCTGGTAAGCAAAGACGAAAATTCAGAATAATGTCACAGTAGCACCACAGACTCTCTCTCTCTCTCCCGGTTGACGCAGGAAAAAATAATCCAGGAACCTTTTGATAAACCCAGGATGTGTGTTGAAGGGTTTGGGGTGAAGCAACTTTTGTCTTCTCAAGTTGCAGCTGACGGGTGTTTTGTACCTGTGTGGATATTGTGTGTTGTCAGTATTTTCACACTAATCTGGACCTCCGTTGTCAATGTGTCGTGTAGGCGTGATTATGGTGTTTGTGTGTTTTGTGATTATCTTGTGTTTGTTTTGTGTTTACGCAGTGTTTTGTTGTATTTTAGATTTTTGGGGGGGAGCTGTTCTGATTGTCGGTGTTGTAAGCGCGCTCTGAATTACTTGTCGTATGGATGGTTTAATCAGCCTGGTTGGTCTGTTATCAGTCTCGTGTATCACAGCACAAATTAGTCTACAGATCATCATCTATTAAAACGCTTGCTGCCGCCTGTTGGTCAAAGCAAACTCCTCTCTTAATTGGAAAATATTCTGATTGGAAATTTTAAGCATTACAAATAGTTCAGTTTTATTTGTATATGTAATTCGTGTGAATCGTACTCGACGGCCGAATTACTTTGTAATCAAATGACAATGGATTTGAATCTGACAAATTGTTGTGTTCGTGTGTGTGTCTCGTCAATGTATAAAGGATATTCTGTCCGTATTATAATTATGTGTGTGTTCCATCCCTCCAGGAAATATCATGTAAATAATGAACTAGTGTATTGTGATAAACCAAAGACACTGTTATTACCAAAGAACGCCAAGTAAACATAACCCTAAGAAAAGCAATATTAATGTATAAGTTGGGTGAGAGCGCCAAGGGGTGCTAGCCGGAGCCCAGAGTGTTGTTGTGGTGCCCCAGCCTAGTGCTGGTCCTCCCACACTAGAGGATGGGAGGCAAGTGCTGCCTCCTGTGTAATGCTCCCTACGGGGCCTACCGGGGATACCCAGGTAAGTCGCCACTCTCTCCTTTACGGTGTGACTGTCATTTATTATTATTACTATTTTTTTGTTCAATATTATTGTTTTTCATATATTGATATTATTATTATTATTATTGTTGTTGTTTTTCTCTATTATTATCATTGTTATTATTATTGTTTTCAATATTATTATTACTGTTGTTATTTGTTCATTATTATTATTAGCATTAGTAGTAGTAGATAGCCGTAGTAAGTAATATAATTATTATTGATGTTAGGATACAATAAGGTAATCATTATTGTATTGCTCTAACCATAACAGTGGTACTCCCTCTCTCCCGGAATAAGTCTCTACCATTAATAGCTACTGTATATCATGCTCCAGGGACTGACGCTCGTGTTGTTAATAATTCATGTGGTCAGGGGTGGATGTATGAGGCGGTGACGTCATGTGAGTTAGGGTGGTGACGTCATGTGAGGTATGGTGGTGACGTCATGTGAGTTAGGGTGGTGATGTCATGTGAGGTATGGTGGTGACGTCATGTGAGTTAGGGTGGTGATGTCATGTGAGGTATGGTGGTGACGTCATGTGAGTTAGGGTGGTGATGTCATGTGAGGTATGGTGGTGACGTCATAACATATAATTTTCTGACTGTCATAACTTTTTTAACCCCGCCGTCTGTCACTGGTATATAGTATTCAGTTATGTGTCCGCCCATCCGTTTGTTAGTTATGTCCTCGCCTCCCGGGTGTATATTTAACTCATTTGTCAGACTATGGAAGGGTTTAAAGTTGTATTTTCAAATTTAGGTTTAGTGGTGTGTGTGTGTGTGTGTGTGTGTGTGTGTGTGTGTGTGTGTGTGTGTGTGTGTGTAGTAAATGTATTAACCCCTTCACTACGGGGTCGTCACTTTTAATAGTTCATCTCTGTAACTCTAGATTTTATTCACAAGTGGTAAGTAGATTTTCTCCACTGATTAATTGTTGTTATATCTTCTAGTTATGTTATTATAATTATAACTTTACTGTATTTATATAACATTAATGAACTAGTTATAACTAAGTTACTATAGGAGTCGACAAGTCAAAACTAATGTATATAATTACACTCATATATCCTCAGTGTTAATTAAAATGTGATTAAGAGAATGGGTGCTATTTGTGGTGGTGATCAGAGTAGTAATGGTATGGTGGTGGCACATAGTAATGGTCGTTAAGGGTAGTTAATGTGTCGTTGTGGTCAGGTGATTTACGCTACTTATCTTATCTCGGTAAAAGGGACACTGGCAGTCGTTATCTGTCATCCTTAACACAGTCATTATCTGGTAGTGAACTTAACTGCTTTTATTTCCTCATAAATAGGTATACCCACATTCAGATCTGAGCTCCAACCAACGAACATAGGGACTGTAGGCGAAAGCTGATGTATTCACTGGGCCACCACTCACTAGTCGGGCATAACACACTATATGGGCAAGTTAGAATTTTTAACAACAAAAGAAATGAACATATTTATGTTTGTATTCTATCACTTATGTATTTCAGTCAGATTTGTATTCCACTTATAATTATTCCACTCATATATGTATCACCCACTCATATGTATCCCCCACTCGTATATGTATCTCCCACTCACATATGTATCCCCCACTCACATATGTATCCCCCACTCATATGTATCCACCACTCGTCTATGTATCCCCCACTCGTCTATGTATCCCCCACTCGTATATGTATCCCCCACTCGTATATGTATACCCCACTCACATATGTATCCCCCACTCACATATGTATCAGCCTCACACACATATAAGAGCAGAGGTCAGCCCAGCTCCCCCAATTTTAAGTATCTGAGTGAGGCCAAGAGTCACTGGCAGTAAACTTTTGAAAATGTTGAGAAGTTTATCATGCGTGAGTGACGGTCCCAAGTTTAGTGTGTAACTCAACAGTGGGGAGGGTAGAGTGATGGGGTGGATGAGAGGAGAAGGGTGGGGAGAGAAAGAATGATGAGGAATGTGGTGGGAGAGGGTGTGTGATGGAGAAGAGGGGGAGTGATGGGGAGAATAATGAGGGGAAGAGGAGGAGGAGGAAGTACAGAAGAATGAAGGAGAGAGAGAGAACAATGCATACTCAATAGCAAGACCTGACAGAACTACTCAGATTAAGCAAAATTTTACCCTCAGTGTTGTCAATAAAACTGTTAAACTAACTAACTAACTAAACTATACGGTTGGTGAAACGGGGTAATGTTTGGGTGAGTGTAGGGGGGAGAGGTGAGGGGGAGAGGAGGGAGAGGTGAGGGAGGGGGGCAGAGGTGAGGGAAGGAGGGAGAGGGAGGTGAGAGAAGGGGGGTGGAGGTGAGGGAGGGAAGGAGGAAGTTAGGGGTCAGAGTTTCAAGTGTTAAAGTTACTCCCAGGATGAAGGACTTGAGGACGCACTCCACTGCACGAGTTAGGATCCAGACGACCCCTACGAATAAACCTGTTTGGGGAGCAGGAAGAGGAAGCCATAATTATATTAAACCTCAAAACTAAACCAGAGACAACAGTGGTATACGTGTCACTCACTAACTCACATAAGGTTGGTGGAGGAATACAGTTGGGAAGGTCATACCCGCTGGGGCTGACTGGACCGGTTAGGTGGCTGGTTAAATAGACCCCCCCCCCCCCAGTCCTAATACTGCCTGGTGCTAATAGACCCCACAGTAACTTAATGTAGCCATGAGGACTAAGACCCATTAGGACTGGGACTTGTTAAGATTGGGATGCATTAGGACTAGGGCCCATTGAGGCTGGAACCCATTGAGACTGAGGCCCATTGATACTGGTACCCATTAAGACTGCGGCCCATTGAGACTGGGGCCCATTGAGACTGGGGCCCATTAAGACTGCGGCCCATTAAGACTGCGGCCCATTGAGACTGGGGCCCATTGAGACTGAGGCCCATTAAGACTGGGGCCCATTAAGACTGGGACCCATTGAGACTGAAACTCATTAGAACAGGAACCCATTGGGACTGGCCTCCAACATTATTGGATAGGTAAAGTTAGATTGGGACCTATTATGGCTTAGGGCCAACTTGACCAGACACTGACCAGCCAGGGTTGTGAGGGTGTGGACGAGTCGTAGAGGGGTGGTCGTGTGGATGGGTCGTAGAGGGCTGGTCGTGTGGACGGATAGGGAAGTCATGTGAAAGACTCGTGATGGAGGATGGGCGTGTGGATGGTGTCATGCGGATGGGTCGTGTGGAGGGGTCATATGAATAAGTTATGTGGGGGGGTTGATCATGTGGAGGGGTCGTGAAGGGAGTCGTGTGGAGGGGTCGTGGGAGGGAGGCGGGGAGAGGGGAGGGTCGTGTAGACAGGTCCCTCCAACTAGCAGAGATAAAGGCGCTGTATTGGTGGTGTCTGGGGGTGAGTGACTCCGGTGTGTTCCGTGGAGGGGACCAGTCCAGCAAGGACGTTCTCTAGTGTGGGCCGTCACCTATTCACCCTCTCCCCCGATCCCGCCTCTCTCCTAGCCCCAGCCCTGCCTCTCCCTCTTACACCACCCCAGACCCCCCCTCTGTCCTTCCAAGGATGAGAGCACAGGATAGAGGTTGAGTGGCACAGGATAGAGGATGAGTGGCACAGGATAGAGGATGAGTGGCACAGGATAGAAGATGAGTGGTGCAGGATAGAAGATGAGTGGTGCAGGATAGAGGGCGAGTGGTGTAGGATAGAGGGCGAGTGGTGTAGGATAGAGGGCGAGTGGTGCAGGATAGAGGATGAGTGGTGCAGGATAGAGGATAAGTCTGTGATATGAGAAAAGACGGGTAGTGTGTTGTGTGTACAGTACAGAGTGAGGTGCGGTGTAGATACAAGGAAGGGTGATGTAAGTGCAGCGTGTGTGCGTGCGTGTGCCGGAGGAAGGTCCTTATCGAGACAGACGTGTGCAGTGCAGAACAGATGGTAAGGAAGATGAGTCATGGCGTTTATAGTGAGGCAGGACAGTGTGGTAATTGTCCCCGCTGTGTGACGGTCTTGGAGAGGTTGTATTGTACGCCATCATATTTTCAGTAGCAAGTAAATTATAAGAAAAGTGTGATTTCAGGTAACATTTAATCAACCTCAAGACAACTTATCGTAAAAAATATAGGAAAATATAAAAACTTCACAATAATGATTTAAACTCTTGTATGTAAAAGATATTTGAGTCACTTACGTCAACGGGATGCTGTTGTATTAAAATGAGATTTGATTTAGAATTTTTCAGGTCGGGATTAAATGGTGATGTTATTGCGTTACACCAGCGTCTTGCTTTTAAGAACGTGATTGGAATTCAATCCTCCCTCAAGCTGTGATCACGAGCGAGAGGGAGGAAGGGTACAAACAGGAGCCAGACGGCGGCGGTGGTGGCGTGGCAGACGTGGGGGCGGGCTTGGGGTGTGGAGGGGTAGTCTAGACCCCCAACACACCGCACGGTTCCACGTTCCTGCTGGACCTACCCATACAATGTGTCTTCTGGAATACCCTAATAGTTGGCGTCCCAGGAGAGAGAGAGAGAGAGAGAGAGAGAGAGAGAGAGAGAGAGAGAGAGAGAGAGAGCACACCCTTGTGTCTATATGAATATTGTGTCTCTTATCTCCATACATATATTTAAATGTTTAGAAATGTGATTTATACGAGTATACTTGTATATATAGATTTAGAGAGAGCCTGCAAGGTGGTGGTGTACAGTGCAGCAGGCAGGTGACCATCACACTACAGGCTGGTGTGATCTGGATGACTCGCTATCACTCGTGTCAGTTGTTCACCACACCACTAATAACACTTGTGTATGTACTTAGAGTTTACCTGCACATTACCTGGACTTACTGTAGCTGCAGGGGAGTTAGTACTAGTCTGCCGCCCTCCCCTCCCTCGACTCATGACCAGATTGTCTTCATATAGTGAGAAGTTGACTCCATTATCTTCCAATATAAGAGACAGATTATTCCCCATAACTGTACTGGAATAGAAGACACTGGTCCATAACGATCCAGTACCAG